TGACATGGCTTTCTGCTCTTAGGGCCGGAAAACGTAACGCTCCCACGTGATTTGAGCGTGTGGTTGAGACACATGAGGAAAAGGGCTGAAGAATGAGCCAAGAGCAAAGTGGTCTTATTAAGCTGTAACACTTGAAATAGGAAGGGACTCAAGCTGAGCTCCACCTTTATACTTAAATATAATATTGTAGGCTCTCAAAATAAGAGGCTGGGCATGGGGTGCTTTTGTGTAGGTATTGCCTGCCCCGTGGAGCTGAAAATCTTGGCGCAGAAGCAGAGAGGGTCATAGAGAGGTGGGAACAAGTTTGGCCAACATGGTTGACATCAACTACAGTGGCCCAACAGTCTGACAGCTGTCAATCAATTAGGACTTCAGAGCATGGAGAAGAGATTTGGCATGGTGGCAAAGTATGGGATGCATATCAAGAATGTCCTCATGGGAATGAGGCAGTTTGGAAGAAGGTGTGGAACAGGCAGGCACTGATCTGGGAGTCAGGTCTGTCAAGGTATTATTAACTGTTGGTAGTGACTGAAAGATAGTAGTTGTGTTGGGCTGTGTTTTGAGTTTAGTCTCTCTCTGGTTTTGCTGCAAAAACTGTTTTGCTCTTTATGAGTATCTAAGTACTCCTTCAGATCTGCCAAAATAATACATGCGGGCAAGAGCTGTTTTCTCTCTGACTCTGAATATTGAATAATTTTACACAAAGAGTGTCAGGTTGAGTTGAGTCCCATTGACTCTTTAGTGTCCTTGGCCAGTGTGCACCCCTTCTGAGTCACATTCAAAGGAGGACTCGCCCATCTTTTCCCCTTCCCTTTCTTTGTGTTTTGAGCTGTGTGGTGGATGTTTGCTCAATAAACAATGTTTGAAGTTGGTTGTCTCCAGGTATCTGTGTTGACTGAAACCACTGTACTGTGGCAGAGAGTGCAAACAGAGCAGCTTAGTAGATTCTGTTCTGGTTCACGTGAAGCCCTCAAACACGTCTCATGAGGATTTCCTTAGTGACAGATCAGTGTATGCTTGAAGGAGTCTGACACTATGTGATTGTTTCTTTTTTAATCACCGTTATTTTCCTAAAATACAAGATTGGCTTATTTGAATGTACAAAAGACAAGTAAAAGAATCTTGCACCAATTAGGCTGGAAAGCTTGTTATTCAGATATTCAATTCTAATTCTACACCTTGTACTTTCCTGGGAACATCCTGCTTGGACATTCAGCATGTCCTGGATGATTGCAGAGTGGTCCTTCAGGACATCCAACAGCACTCAGCGCTGAACAGTGAGGGCTGGGAATGTGGTGACAAACACTTAAGGAAGAGGGGAGATATGATTCTGTGGTTTACTTTATTATTTACCAAATGACTTGCATTCATGCTGAAAATTGGTATACTAGCTTCATGTATGGTAATGCCCTGACAGTATCAGATAGAAATTTCCAGTGGTTTTGGGTGACACCTTTTCCCTTGAATTGTGGTTCTATACAACAAAAATAGTGTAATCTCAAGTTTTGTGCTTGGACATTTTGCTCTTTCCAATGGGTGAATCTGCATCCATTTCAGTGCCTGCATTCTCTTTCCTATAATGTTAATTAATGAATTCAGTCTGATTTTGCTGGGAGCTGTAAAACTTACTCTTGATGCTTGGTAGGAAAGTTCAATTAATCCAGACTTTGGTGCCAATTGAAAGTCTACCAGTCTGTGGCCATACGAAATCCCTCCATGATTTTTGTAAACCAAGTGATGAGACCAGACCAAACTCAGCTTCAGCCTGTGATGCAGTTGTTGCTGGATGAAGTGTTGAAGTGCCAGTTGGACCATGTTATTTACTGGTAAGGCTGCCCTATGTCTTTTGAAGAATTACTGAAACTCCTCAGAAAAAGGGAAAATAAATTTCCCACCTCTTTTTTGAAAGACCAAAATACCTTCCATAGAACACAGAGGTATCTCAAGGAGATCTTGTAGCTGCTTTGCTTGCATTCGTCATCAAAACACGCCTCTCGAATATCTTGTTCTTTACTCCTTTGGGAGTGCACTGCAGTTCGGAGGCAGATGGAGACAACGAAGAGATTTGTTGTAATGTGGGTAATGTGGTGCAGCAGGATGTCAGGCACAGTTCATCTTAGCAGGGCTCTGTGGACAAGGTCACAGACTGTGCAATGGTCAGAAAGAGGGAGTGATGCCAAACAAATCATAAAACAGCATGAGTTGGAAGGATCCATGGAGTCTAACAACTGGTTCTGCACAGGAGCACCTGAATATCAGACCATAGACCAAAATATATGAGGAATAGTTACAGCAGTTGGGAAGTAGGAGGGAAAGCCATTTGTATGAGCACAGTGTTGGTCTGTTTGGATAAAAAAACCTCATTTGTATATATATTTCTTGGGTAGAAGTTCAAAGAGAGATGGGAAAAATTCCAGGCTGTTTACTGGCTTGCATTGTCCAATACCTGTTTTCAACTAAATCATCACAACTACCTTAAACTATCTTTACATCTTATCCTGAGCCTGGTTTGCTTTGGGAATAAACAGTGATGATTCTTCATTGCCTTTGTTCACTTAATTGGAACGTGCTGGAACCACTTTGGCCTGCGTAAGAATTAGCAAATTTTTTCTGGCATAAGTTAACTCCTGTTCAATGATTTGTGGTCAGGTACTCACACAGAACTTTGCTGAAAGGCCAGGCAGCAGTCTCCGTTTGGAAGGGTAATCTTTGTACTAGTGTTACATTAAACACAACTTCAGGCTTTGATGGATCCATCTGATGGACTTTGCCTCTCATGAACCTCAACTGCCTCACAAAAACCCTAGTTGTAATCTGATGTTCTCTAAATGGAATTAGAGGAGAACAGAGTCTATGGCATGTGAATGGGCCTGAAGGATGCTGGAGGGCTCAGTGTTGAGCTCATTGGCATAGCTCAGTGTCTTCAGCCTCGTTAGAAGAGTTGTACAACCCAAGCAAGTTGGCAGATCTACTAAACAAGAATTATGCTTTTTGACAGACTCTGTGGCTTTGTTTCTGAGTGATGCAGATAGTAGTTTTGAAGGGAAAACTGATCTCCAATTCCCCTTCATATTCACATCCAGCTTCCCTTTAAAACCTGTCCATTTTCTTGTCCCTGCAGCATACGTCAAAGTGCTGCTTCAGGACCCTGGTGCCTGGGAGCTGCAACTTCTGCCCTGAAACAACTTGGCTTGATTTGATATATTCTCATGCTGATGCCAATTTTTTGTCTGAATAGGCTTCCTTGCTTTGCTATACTTACTACTCTGCCATATTTCTACAGGGAAAGCTGAATGTTTTTCTGTCTTCTCTTGAAAGACTGAAATTCCCATCTCTCCTACCCACTGAATGAGGCACACTGCTCTACCATGGCCCTGGAGAGGGAGGGTCAGTGATGCTTCCCTGGTTCTCTGGGCTGTATCTGTCATGACATAGGACTGCACTTCAGCAAAAGGAATTTGTATCTTCCCACGTTGCTCCCTTCAGCACCTTTGAAGAAGTACCTTTCTATCTCTCTTTCCACTAGATAGATGATTCTTGCTTCATTTCACCTGGCTTCCTTACCCACAATCGTTCAGTAGGGCTGGTTAATGAAGTGTGTCAGTGCATAGAAGTGTCCTGTGCATGGCCATCTCTACAAGGACTTGCCTGCCTGAGCTCTGCAATTACGTGATTTTAATTGGCTTTTAATTTGGGGAGATTATTTCTTATACTTAAATGAAAGCCACAGAGGTGTCATTAATATGTAGGTTAGAAATTGGAGGGGGGAAAAAAAAAAGTGGCTGAATTGCTTCTGAGCTAATAAAGGAAAATTCACATTTACTTTCCCATGTATTTAATGTGAAATATACCAGAAAGTCCATAATTAGAAAATTATAAGGATTTAAACCTATATTGCAAAAATACATTTCTGTGGCTCTGGAGGTTGCAAACATGCTTTCCGTTTAGAGCTGTATGTTGCATTTATGCTGATTTAATCATTCATTAAACATTAGTAAGAGGCCAATTATGCTGTTCAAGAATAAGATGTTTTACGAGAAAATGACAAAAAGATACATGTAATCATTGAAATGCCAGTTTACAATCAGATAGGATGGGAAATAATCCCTTTAGCAAGCTTAAGCTTTTACATATTAATGGCAACATTGGGGAGAGTGGAAAGAGGGCTTTAACAGCCTTGCGGCCTTCTGGTCCTAATCAGAAAGTGAGTGCTTACAGTGCTCTGGACAAAAATATAATGAACTGTTTTACTCTGTGGCAGAGACCACGTGAAATGCTTTTTAATTGTCCTTGCTGTGGCTTAAAGTGTGTGTCTACTGATAGACATATAAGTATAGGTTCGAATCTCACTCTGGCTCTTGCAAGAGATGAGATGTCCTAAGAAGGGAAGGGGATACAGTCCACTGGGACACCTTCAAGCTTGTATTTCTGAAGTTCCATGTCAATCACTTTGTAGAAGGAGGTGGACAGAGGGAGAACATACCTGTAAAATGGAATCAGGGTGACAGGAACTCATTATACCATCTCTCTTCCAAGACTTGGGGACATCCAATTAAACTCTTAGGTGACAGGTTCAGAATAAACAGGAGGAGGTGGTTCAGACACAGTACTGCTAAGTGGTGGAACTCCTTACTGCAGGACCTGATGGATACTATGAGCTTGCATAGGTTCAAAACACAAGTAGATAAATTCGTGCGAATGGGGAAGAAACCAACATTTGATGTATATCAAGCACAAAGTTCCTTTTGTTTCAAAGCTTCTCAGCTGTGAATTTTTATTCACTGGGAAAAACATGTGATGTGTGTGCTAGTCTGGTTTGGGCTGCCCAAGGAGGTGGCAGGTTCACCGTCCCTGGAGGTGTGCAATAACTGTGGGGATGTGGCACTGAGGGATGTGGTCAGTGGGCACGGTGAGGGTGGGATAAGGTTGGCATCTTGTCTTTTCCTATCTTAATGATTATATTATTCATTAGCTTATCCTCAGCTGTTTGTTTTCTGCAGCTGTTGGTGGAGAAGGATGTAACTAATGGACCTTTGAGCTGAACCCTCACAGAAAACTTATGTTTTCATATGCATCAGTAAAAGACATTTTTTAAATCTCATTTTGCGACGTTGCACAGATTCCTGTGAGAAAAATATTCAGCGTTGGTTCTCTCATATTTATGATGCATCAGAAACCTAAAGAACATCCAGCAAACCATGGACTGCACATGGATGAAGACTTCTTTGGTGTGCGTGAAAAGGCTGCTTCACGGCCAAGGAGCTGCAGAGGTAAGCTCAAAATGAAGAAAACAAGTCATGACTAACCACAATTGCTAGTTTTATTGTTCATACGAACTCTGCTCCCAAGTTCCTCACCTCTGAGCCCCTCTGGGTGCTTTGTGTCCTGGCGTATTTTGATTGCCAGGATCGCTCAAATCTTGGAGTAAACCTGTCTTCCTCTCTGAGTGCATCTTGACCAAAGGGTGAGTAGGGTTGGGCAAAGAAAATCCACCATGATCTGAGCAAACACCCTATCGTTACAAAAAAAAAACCCCACAGCCAGGAAGTCCAAAACTTTGAGGACTTGTTTGCAATGAAGAAAATAGATGTAGGACTGAGAATTTCTCAGGCAAGAGCACAGAAAACAGGGAAGCCCTGCATGAGCTGCGGGCGGGTTCCAGACAAACCAGCAAAATATCACTCCAGCTTCCCAGGGCCACGCCAAGCATTGACGCTCTTTGACCGCCTTGCCGACTTGTACATCTGGCCACCCAAACATTCAGTCCTCTTTTTCCAAATCCAGTTGGTCAGCTGTGCCCGTTGCCATGCTGGCCTCTGGGCAACGGACCCGAGCAGTGCTGTTGAGAGGGAGAAAAATGTATTCCAGCGATAGTATTGAAGGGTTACTGCTGCCAAACACACTGTGTCTGTGGAAACACCTGTTGAGTAGCTGTTGCAGTGGGTAGAGCAAGATGAAGAAAGACAGCTGTAAAGGTGCCAGCAGCAGTAGGAAGCTCTACCAAGACTGCTTTGTGCCAGTTAGAGATGTGCCAAATTATTTGGCTGCATTTCAAATATCTGGGTGTCCACTACATTTGCCAGCTCGTACTCCCAGGGAATATTTCAGCATTAACACCACTACTGCCGTGCTCCCGCTGCACTTCCACTTTAATTTTGGTCTTTATGTTTCTGCGTTGCTTTTTGTTTTTTATTTCTCGTTCCTTTCCACATCTGTGGCATGCAAAGGAAAGCCCAGTATTGCAGTGCAGAGTCCAAAATAAAGGCTGGGATCTGCAGTCGGTAGGAAGACAAAGCATCGCTGTAAAGTTCTTTTGGCCACTGGTTTGTGAGATATGCTGGCTTTTTTTTTTTCTCTTTTCTTTTTGTTTTCCTTTTTTTTTTTTTTTTTTCCCAGAGAATCTTAATTTTACCTTTTACAAACAATTTGCTAACCTGCACACTTCTCCTACCTGCCCATCTTGAAATCCTTGGAACTGCAGACCTCAGCTTTGGGAAGTTTGCAGTGGGAATGGGGCTGAAATTCGAAAGTTGAGCTGTTAAGGCAGAATGGCAAAACATGGAAACTCTCTGAATGTTTCATGTCTATTCTGGAGTGTTTATGTACCATCCATTGCACTGGCGATATCCACTGAGGAACGAGAGAGCTCACAGCTGGAAGGAGAATTTCTCTCTTCAAAGAAAACCTTTCATGATTTAAGAGCGCTCTTTTTATAGATGAGGAATTGAGAGAAAAAAGAAAAGGAGTTGTAAAATAACAACAATTTGTTTTTGATAATCATCTTTTCCCTCAAGTGCCCAAGGAGCATAGAACCAGCCCTGCCCCTTTCCTCTTCCCCTTTCCCTGTAAGAAGACCATGCTGTAAATCCATCCACTGTTCACGACAGACCCTAGAGGTATGCCCAACATTAAGTTTCTTCTTGTTTTGAAAGCCAAAACAAACAATGAAATCTCAAATAATTGAATTCTTTCTCTAATAGTTCCTTCCCCTGCCTGGAACAAGGCTCTTGTGGTTCAACAGCTGTTATACCTGCAGTGCAGGTAAATTCAGTGCATCCTAACTAGGATGAATTCAAGCCTAAACAACCCTGTTCCTGAATTTCTTTGTCTACGTCATGGTTTGTTCATTGCTTCGCAGGTGTGTTTAGTTCTGGTCTGGGGACTCAGGAATGGTGTTGCTGTTAGGGCTGGTTGCTGTCCCTCCCTGCAGCTTTGTTTTCTGTGCTTTTTGCAGTTTTCTACATGTTTGGTTTTTGTTTTTTTTTTTTGTGCCTTCTCTTATTACACATTGTGTGGTGCATGGCTTCATTCCTGTTGTTTGTTTTAATCAACACAGAATCCTATCTGATCTAAGGTTAAATGGTTAAAATGAAAATCTTACACACACTTTTCTTTACAACGTGGTCTTTTTCCATAATAAATCTCATTTATTAAAGAAAAACAAACCTTTGCTTTTTGAATGAGATAATGTTGCACCATACAAATTGGCAGAAACACAAATGTGTCCAGGAGAACTGGCTGTTCTTCTTTGAGCTAGCATTCCAAACACCTCTTTTTTCTATTAGACCTTTCTTTTCCCAAGCACTCATCAACCTGTTCCTCTTCTGGATAGTTTAAGTCAGGATCAGTAACTGAATGCCTGACTTATTCTGATTTTACCTGCAGGTGTGTGTCAAACAGATAAGAAGCAGTTGTACTTCAGTAAGGTTTGCAAGAGTCCATGGTTCATCTTTGCTCCAAGACAATGGGGTCATCTTACAGAAATCCTGCAGCTCCCTTCTTGTCTCTGTACTAACCAGAGAACAAAGGAAAGAGCCACTTGGTCCCTGAGCTTTCAAATGTCCAATGGATCAAGAAAACTATAGCTTACTCAAAACTCGCTGGTTGGATCTCGTAAATAATAAGAAAAGTCTCTGGCTGTTGCCTTGGCCACATCAAACTCTTCTCCAGACAACCAGAAAATGCATCTTTCCTATTAATCTTCCTGGCTTTGATGCCAGATTCATGGGTTATGGTCTGTTCATCCTGAGAAAATGTTATCTGAGTCAATATTTAGACAGAATAAGCCTTAATCACAACATAGTTATGCTTCATTAAAGAGGTTTTTCATTCACTTCATTTGGAAAATAATGCAGAATGTACCAGAAGCAAACAAATTGGGTAGATTTCCTATTCATGAAAACCTTCCTTTCGTTCCATAAAAATGAAGGGCTAATTACTTGTTCAGGAGGATTTCTTTCTTCATAGGAGAAGCAGGAATACATTTTCATGACCTTGCTAGTGTGGACAGACTTGCCGGATAGCACCCAGTTTTCCTGTTGCTGGAGTAGACTCTGAGTGACAGACAGTTGCCCCTTAACCCTTAGTAGCAGGGGAGGAACAAACCCAGGCACCTGAACGTGCTGGGGCCAGCCAGCTGGGAAGAAGCTCTGCAGGATAGTACCTGGAATCATGGTGGACACCAAGTAGAACAGGAGCCAGCAGTGTGCCCTTGATGCTTTGAAGGCTGAAGATAAACTGGACTGCAGTTAGGTAAAGGATCACCAGCAAATCAAGGGAGGTGATCCTTCCCATCTACTCATATCTGGTGAGGCCACACCTGGAGGATTGTGTCCAGTTCTGGGTCTGCAAGATAGAGATCCCAGTGTAGAGATCCAGTGCAAGATAGAGATCCCAGTGTAGAGCCACCAAGGGTCTGGAGCAGCTCTGCTGTGAGTGGAGGCTCAGTGCAATCCCATCCAGGTCTGTAAATACCAGAAGGGAGGTGCAGAGAGGCAAGAGAGGCATTGCTGAGTGTCCTTGCAGAAGGGCAAGGCACATCCAGGTCTCGGCAGAGTGAATACAAAGAGCAGAGCGCAGGCATGGCAAATATGGCCTCAGAGCCCCTCTGCACTGCCATGTGGCTGTATTACCATAGTAACTGACCATTCAGCTGTCCTTAATGTATTTCTTTATCCTTGTAACATCCTGGCAAGGTGAAAATGTGTTTTTGTCTCCATGTAGCAGGCTGTGTGCAGTGGCTCACCCAAGGGGACACAAGCAATGCTGTTGCTCCTCTTGAAGTCTAGAACAGCATAGAAATACCAACGCTTTCCCTCTTTCCCACTGTAAGGAAATAGGTTGCAGTTCCTTCTTCCTTCCTATGCCCATAAGCTTAGACCAGGCAAGCAGTGGGGAGGCTGCAGAGAAGTCCGTCCCTTTCTCCAGGGCATGGAAGAGCAGATGATTTTGCCTGCAGTGCTCATAAAAAAAAAAAAAATTGATTTCTTTCATCTCTTTCCTGTGCAAAGGCCAGTGCTGAGCCCAGCAGATTATTCAATAACATCCCATAAAAATATTAAACTTCTATATCGGAACCAAATTAAAATTGTATTTCATGATGTGAACAAAGGTACCCAAGTTGACTTCGTCGCTCTCCCTCTCCTTTTTCAAATTTAATATCACACAGAAGAGAGAAATGAAATCTGTATTTAAATGACTGTGGAACACTGTGCATTTAAAGTGCACAGCAAGTCACTCCCTAAAGCACTCCATATGATATGTAAATCTTTTGATCTTTCACAAAATGCATGAGTTCCATAAAGAATAATGAGTACTAGCTTGGGAAGTACAATATTGACTGTCACTGTAGTGCACTTAGCCACAATTATTATTTGCATGGCTTTTGCAACATTACTGGAGGGGAGAGTCCTGTGAATATTTTTAATGCATTCTAATAGCTGCTAAAAGAGATTTTATTTTATAATAGATGCATTCTTTCTTTTGGGTCTACAAGCATTTTTTTCAATTTATGCATTACTTTTTTTTTTTTTTTTTTTTTTTTTACTCTTTATAAAAGAGCATCTATGGGGAAAAGCAGAGGAGCATACAAGTCCTGAGGATAGAAACAATTGAGGTCCGTTAGCTGCAACGAAGCAGGGAAATTGACAATGTTTATTTATTTATTTTTTCAGCCAGTCAGAAATGTTTAACTTTATCAATGATCTTAAAAGTGATCTCCCTGAGGAATCTTGAAGTGATGCACTCTCTGAGATGCATTTTGGACAGGCCAAGGTGTAAATGTATGCAGATTCCCTTAGGATCCGTTTTTCACTTGCAGCTGAGGTTGGCAGAGTCTTCGGCACCAATCCAGCACATTGCTCCTGAGTTTCACCATGGGAAGGATTTCAGAGCCTGGATCTGGTGACAGTGGGGGCTTATTAGCTGTGGGGAAGGAGAAGCTGAGCTTTACAGTCTGCGTCCTGAGCCTTTTCTATGTTTTTTCCCAGCTTTCCAGTGATGCATGCAGTCCCTCTTAGAGATGCATAAGCAAACCCTGCCTTCCAGAACCAAGGTTTCTCTCTCTGGGATACCAGCACCTTGTATGTCCACCCAGAAGATGCAAAGACTATAAGCTCACAGCGTGGGAGAATGAGGTAAGAATAACAGTTGGAACCATGGCAAAAACCATAAATGAAATATAATTAGCTTATTACTATTAATGCTTTCTGGCTTCCTCCCTGAAGCTCTCAATGCCTGTCTCAAGGTCTTTTTGAAGTAGTTTGATGTATTTATTACCTGCCCTGCTATAAAGCTCGGAAGCAGCTTGTTTCATAGAACAACCTTTCCTCCTATCAGGGAGCAGTGATTCCTAACCGTTCGTATTGATCTGCTCTCAGGGTCTGGTTTATCAGGCCAAGTAACTTTCTGCTGTTTTTGGCCTCATTTCTCTGACTGTAGAATGACCATAGTGACATTTTCTTTCTTTGTGATAGCACTTTTAGGGCCTGAGAAGAAAATGTTGTAATCATAGTCATATGTTGTAATCAAAGTCATAGCTGAACAGTAATAGGGCATTGCAATAGGGAGCTGCTCCTCTGATTTGAATCAGGCTTCCAGAGGTCAAGGAAGTGAAGAAGTGAAGGACACTTTGTGAGCCCAGTGCAGAAAAAAAAAGAAAAGAAAGCACATTTTTACCCAAAACTGAATGTATGATTTTATTTTTTCAGCCTTTTCCAACTATACCACAACTTACACAGGGTACAGGACTTGAAAAATTTCTTCTGTCAATGGCAAGAATACATAAAAATCCCTTTGTTTGAGTTAGACACATCTTTGGGGCACACCATTCTTATTTTTGTAGTGCTCTTATTCTTACAGGTTTCTATCCTCCTCAATGCTGTATATTCAATAGATTTTTTTAAAACACAGAAGATGGTATAGATCTTGCCAGTTGAATTCTTTCCAGTTTCTCTTCTTGGTGTTGAATTTTCCTACTTTTTGTTGTATGACTTTTAGTTTCCCACTTTAGAAACATTGTTCCATTCACAAGCCCATCTAACGATCAGAAACAGCCAGTGGAGTTTAGGTTGAATGACCATATTGCTGTCTGTTGCTTTCAGGTCTTTCTTTCTAAATCCCTTTTCATCCACATCATTCCAAAAAAGAATTCCTCTGTGGGAACATTTATTAGAAACAAGCTGCACCAATTCCCCAAAAATCTACTGAACTTGTTTACCTGTTAAGACTTGTAGTAATTTTCCATAACAATATTGCCATTTATTATGCTCTGGAAAGGCACTATAAAGGCACTTTCAAGAGGAGAAAACCAAGAAAGATTATTCATTTCACATCCTCATGCAATTCTTTTGTAGGTGGCTTTCAACAAAGGGTGATATTGGATTACATTCATTTTGGTTCTTAATAAACTAGTAAATCTCCCATTGTTCTATGTTGTCCAATTATAAAAGCAATGAATATGAGACTAAGCACTTCAAGATAACCATAGCTTTAAAGATAGACAAAAAGCTTTATAGATTAGGATCAGAATAAAACTGCCATTTTTGTAGCGTTTTGATGAACAATATTTTGTGAATTAAAGCTTTCTCTCCTAGGAATGTCAATAAATTACTCTTTAAGTAGAAACCACTGCAAACCTCAGGAAGAGTTTCCTAATATCTATGCTGCTGAAAAGGGAAGGAAGTAAATCCTTCCTAGAAGTCATTTCCTTGCTGTCTGAAGAGGCGATTATGGGGGTATTTCTTGAGGTCTGTTTGCCTGTAGGAGTGTGATCTGTTGGGAGTTTCTTCCTGAATCATTTCTGTTGCCTCCTGTTTAGGATATGCTACCTTTTTACACGTGCTTCTTAGCTGTACTATGTTCCAAGAATGGATCCTTCAGCACTTTAGAAATGCTTAATTGGCAATAAAAGCTGTCATTAGCATTTTGAAGGCAGAATTTGGGTATTTTCTTGTTCACAAGGAAGGGTTTCCAAAGTGGAAAGAACTGCTTCTGAGAGGTCTCTAGAGGTAATGAATTAAAACAGTATTGGCAACTGTTTTAAATACACTGGGCAGAGGCCGGACCATTTTAGTAAAATTTTAAGCATTGGAGGTTAGGGAAAAAAGAACTCTAAGCCTCAAAGTGTTCAATGAAGTCATGAGCTGGGATCATTGCCTTGTTCAACTCTGTAAGAATTCATATCTTGCTTATAGAAACATCTATTAATCTACTGATTAGCATCAGATTCTTTGTCAGCACATCCTTAATGGAAAGTAGAGCGCTCCACATGCTTGGTCCTCATATTCCTAACTTGCAAACAACTTTGCAAAATTGTCACGTGGCATGACTTACAGCTGTGAATTTGTCCATTGGCAGAGGGGAACCAATGACATATGGCCCTCTCTGATGGTGACACAGGGTAAACATCCCACCCAGTTGCTCATCCTGGTTGTATGCTAAGGCACAACATAAGAATATACATACATAGAGGCCAGTTTGATAGAGGGGAAAACAGGTCATGAGAGATGTGAAATGAGGCACCTGGGCAGAGGTGGGGAACATCTATGTGTCAGAGCCCAGGTTCATGCCTTTATATCATCCACGGAAAGGTCCATTGCCCATCTATACCCTTGGCTTGGGCTGGGATGAATTTTTGCATCATAAACCTACTACAGCCCCAGAGAGAACATGAACTGCATCTCTGAATGCAGTATGGAAGGGACACTGTGCTTGCCAAGAGTGGCAGCAGTATTAGCAAGCTCAAAGGAGAAACAAAAACAGAAGAGAAGATGCTTCCCCGCAGTCAATCCTCTCCTCACTCACGTACCCTCTCACTGTTTCCCAGAATTTCAAGCACTTTTGTCTCTTCTCAGATGGCTCTTCAACTGGAGAGATAGCTGCTGGGTAAAAATAATTCTTTAGCTCAGGATTGTCAGTCCCATCATGGGACCGTGCCTGAAAACACAATCACACTTTTTGATCAGTTCTGCTGTAACAACCTGTTGTCTTTTATAATAACATTTCCATTGGGAATATTCAGATGCAGAGTCTAAAAAGAACCATTTCATAGCACACAGGCAACTACATACACAGTGACTTTGCATTCTTATCTTTTTGATTTTCCAGTGGGTGTATTTGCCTATTTCTTTTTTCAGACCGCATCCATCTGCTTCGCCGTTCCTACAAAAGCTAGTTTACATGCAATAATTGCCATTAAAAATGTGGGGGAAAAGCTCATTGCACAAATACATTGCTTTGCTCCTTCTAAAACCCACAGAAGCTACAAGACAGCACGAGGTTGATTGATGGATGGCTTTATTTAATTATTACTTTCAGAAACATGTTCTCTATCTTACTTATAGCAGGTGCAGGCTGTGACGTGGCATTTGCTCTGGTAATTATGCAGGTTTTTCTTGTAAATAGCAGAACAAGTCAGGATGAAAGATAGCGCTGCCCTCAGGTTGTGGGAAATTATTCAGCTTTCTCTTTACCAAATTTCAAATGATACGTGTAAATGATAAGGTCGCTTTGATTCCTGCTGCACCTCCCACCCCCAGTTCTTTACTCCTGTGGCATAAAACTGGAAGAGAGGGAGGGAGTGGGGCTGGAGGTGGATGTGTGGAAGGGGCAGCTTGTGCTGTGGCTTGTGATGAGCGTTGTTACTGCAGTGTGGGAGGAGAGTGAGTGAGAAAGCTGGCTCGAGTGCCATGCACTGTGGTATAGAATTAGAAAGACTTTGGAGAGTGAGAGTTGAAGTGGCCTTTTAGTAGGGCTGGTGCTTTTCAACGCGGGGCGGTGCAGCCAACCTCCCAGCCATGTGCCCACTGGCTGCCTATGTCAGGTCTCCTCACATATCCTCCACCCTGTTGTTTCTTCCTCTTCTTTGTGTCTGTCTGAAGGAGTAGGTGCTTGGATTTTCTCCATTCTCCACCTCTCTATCCCATGTTTCTTTGTCTACATGAGGGATAAATAGCAGGCGCCATGCTGGGTGTACTCAAATCCATCCCAACAAAAAATGCCAAGGTGAACATTCCCCAGTCACCAGGAGATCCTGCCACAGGGAAATGGGGCCTCCAAAGAGCCACTGTCATCCTCAGCCCGTAAACTCTTCCTTGAACTTTTCCTTCCCTTGGAAGGAATGTATGGTTGATTGGCTCATTGCTGTCTGCTATGTCAAGATTTGGCTCTAGGGCTACAAAGGAGCCACTTCCATGTTGATTTATGATAAAAATTCAACAACTAAATCCTCTTTGTTTGCAGCAGAGTTGAGATTGCATGCCTCCCAATGGCTTGTGCAATGCAAGGATGTATAAAAACTTCAGGCAGCATTTCCAAACTTGAGTGCCTCAAGTTTTCCACCAGGGTCAGCATTTTCAAAGAGTCACAGGGTCACTAAGGCTGGAAAAGATCTCCAAGATCTCCAAGCCCAATCTCAGCCTCTCCCACTGCCCACGTCCCTCAGTGCCACATCACAGTTCTGGAGCATCTCCAAGGGACGGTGACCCCACAACTCTTTGGGCAGCCTGTTGTGGACTCTTTGGACTTCTCACTTTGGTCCTTTTGAAATGCAAATCTTTGACTACTCAATTTGGTCCCATCCAAACACGGACCCTGGGTCTGCAGCCACAGCCAGATGATTTGGCACCTGCATCTTCATTCTGCTGTGAGCTGCCTGATGTTTTACCAGATGTACTGAACACTTGCAGTTTCCACTGAAATCAAGAGGAACTGATGGTGTTTGGCACCTACTGAAAGCACAGCCTTGCTACTGAGGGCAGTGTGTAAATAACAGTTCTGTAACAGGCACCCTCTGGAAATGTTACCTTCTCTGCTCTATAGCAAGTGTGCAATGAAATGAGAACAAACCTGACAATGAAAAATGTGCATTAGTTTATATAAGAGCTTAGCTGAACAAGACAGTATTTCAATGGAAGGTGCAGAGGATGTATATGAATGAGAAGCAGTTGATTGTTACCGTGTGTCTATCAAAAAGAAAATAAGGTCATTCACAAATCTTAACATATTATGGAAGGGAGGAATATTTTTTTTAATTAGGATTAAAAATATTATCTACTTAAAATGTGCCCATGCATATAGTCCTGGCATAGCCTATGGCAACACCTATAATTTTAACATAAAACTGTTTTTTCGAAGA